ATACAGCAGAAGAAAGAAGGACTCTGTGAGTGACCTTGATATCAGGCAGAAGGAGCGGTTGCAAAGGTCATTGATATGCATGGCCATCGCACGGACGCTCGCTGTGTGCGGCGGTGTGTGTGGTGAAGCGTTTCATCCTGTTCGCCACTGTGACTTGCATTAGAAGATGTAATTGATTATCATATGAATTCCATTCCAGTCATCAAATCCCAAGATGATTTAGCTATCTAATATAATATATCCACGCTCCCTATATTGTGTTCCTCTGCCTTTATCTGTAAAATCTGTCCACTGCCTCAGGATGGAGGTACTGCAAAAGCAAATTTGGATCAATCTCAGCACTCAATTATCCCACCATTTGGTGCTTCACGACCCGAATAAACATTTTGTCACTAATCCATATGTTATTATCATCCACCAAGGCTATCATAGATGCAAGTAAACAAACACACATATACACACACAGTGACACAAAGCAGCAACAGCAGCTTCTAATTCTTTGACTGTAGATTTGACAATGGCCTGCAGGCAAAATGTATGTGTGCCAACGCAACTGTCAGCTCAGAGACAGAAAGTAAGGATGTGACATTAGTCTTTGTCGCAGTGCCATCAGATACACTGTATGATAATGTGTTTATAACAGTGTCAATCAGATGAAATTAATCCTATAAAAAAGAGCGTTTGAAGATGACATATTATTTCAGCTTAATTAGCATCAGTGACTTACACACAGGTCAACATTTCAGCATGAGCATACAGTATGTACGGAAAATGTTGGGTTGAATGAGGACAATCTTCTCATTCGTTTAGGCTCAAGTTGAGCAGGAACTCCATTATACTGCTGGAAAGTTTCATAATCAGGCCAGACCTTATTCACATTTGTGCCCAGAGAAAACCATTGGCCCTCAGGCGAGGTTGAGGCTGTAGTCTGAATGAACAGTGACTTGCAATTTTACCATCATATATTGATATTGATCAGTGGATTTCGGTACTGAGCTGAAGTTAGTTATATATTATCATGGCTGAAGGTAATATCACAGAACATTTCACTGCTTCAGATATTGCAAATTTTTCGTGGATTACAGTATATTCTTTGGTGGGGTGGGATGAAGAGCGAAAGCGAGAGGATGAAATCAAATTAAGTAGTAATGATAAGAAGAGAAGAAGAAGAAAAGGCAGTTTTGTGCATGTAGAAGTTCAAGCTCAGAACTCAAGAAGCAGGAGTTGCACTTATCCACAAGGGTTTACACACATTATTCCCCAAAAATGTCAAACTATCTGGTCAAACTCACACAAAACTCAATTTACTAAATTTTCCATATGAATTGTACTTGTGTGTCTTAATATGACTTCATCTGACACCATGGAATCCATAGACATACTATTATGCAACTACTGTAGTATTTGTAAATTGTGTAGATTCAGTTTGAAGAGGGACAAACACAAGGCAAAGAACCTGCGGGAGGTGCAAGGGATAGGTGCTTTTAAATTCGTGTTCCTTTTTGGTTCCAAATCTGAACAAACACATGATATTTTTAGACTCAGTGTGACTTACACTTCCCGTGAATATGATTATCTCCAATATCCACTGTGAATAAACGTCCAAAAATAATAGAAAAATGATGCTCATTATAACTTGTCAGAACTTGCTTAAAAATCGTCACGTTTGTAAGTTACCAAAGTGATCCAGTGATAGTTTTCTGTACATCCGTTGGTATATTGCAAACATGGACTCCTAATAGCTAATTCGGCTTACTTTTAATGTTGCCAAATTAAAATGTTAACACATATGGGCTTAAAATGTATAAGATTTGTCAAATTAAAATGTGCTCATCAATGTCTTACAATTCACTGCATTTATTTCTCACTCCAGTCCAGCCACCAACAAAAATGTATTTCCACAGCCCATTTTGGAAAGTTGGCATATTCTTCTCTTTCTCTTGTTCTATATTTCTGAAAACTAACATATAAAAATCCAGATGGTAGCAGTTTGCTGATTTACAGATACTCACAGGAGTCTCCAGAGAAAGCCTCAAAATGATGCCATCAATTTCACTGTATATTTTATTCTAAAATAGTTTGCCTAGTGGGATCAGATAATGTAGCCTGATTTGACAGTAGAATTATGGGGCTGCACTAGTATGATGGTGTATGCTTTTAAAACCTTCATATTGATTGATTACAGTTGATTTGTCTGTCTGATCCACCGCTGTCACAACTGTAGAGCTTCATCCATGTTTGCTCTTGAATTCATCCCCACAATCTGACTGCTGATCACGTTGCACTGAATGATGGTGATTTCTAAATTAAAGCACAGGCTTACTGTGATTTATGAGTATAACTGCATATTTGATGTGGGAAAAGGCTGAATTAAATATCCTATTTACTAAAAGGAAAAGAAAAATTGGATGAATAGTGCTTAGCTTTGGTAAGATCTGTAAGCATGGGTTTTATAACTTAAGAGCATCACTAAATTCCTTGCTCGTAGTCACAGAAGAGAGTAGAAAGTGTAGAAAATAGAGGTGAAACAAATAGTAGAGAAATTGATTAAGTGATTGACAGAATATGTATAGGCTATTTTGATAATCACTTAATCATTTCAGTAAGTTTTTCAAGCTTTAATGCCAAATATTTGCTTATCAAATGTGATTATTTGATGTTTTCTTGGTCATATATGATGTTAAACTGAATATATTTTACTTTGACTGTTAGGATAAACATCCATTAAAACATATCAGAGCTTTAGGATATTAAAATGGACATCTTTCAGGCATTTTATAGAAAAATTATTAACTGAGAAAATAGTCACCAGATTAATGGATAATACTAATACTAATAATGTATTGCAGGTCTAGCTGAAAAGCTTTTACAGGCTGTGACAGAGCATGATAAAGCCTTTCTTTTGAGCCTTTCTTATTAAAATGAACGTTTCATAACAAATTTTAAGGTTTGGCTTGTTTTTTTTTGCTCACACAGTGTCAGTGTGTACGTGACTGAGAAAGACTGTAGATAAAACAAAAGACAACTGAAGAGTTGGATACAGAGGCAAAGTCAAGTAAGGGTAACAAATCCAGCTTCAAACAAGCTGGGAAACAAAGCTTCGGCAGCTACCCAAACCAGCCAGCTAGTAGCCAATCAGCCTGCCAGGCCTCTCTCCTCTCAGACTGAGGCTGGCAGCAGGAACTGGCCAAGCAGAGAGATAGAGTGAGAACGTGAGACAGACAAAGAGAGAAAGAGAGAGGGAGTTTTCATTACACAAAAACACTTATCCTCCTTCTCCTCCCTCTCTCTCTCTCTTGTTTTATCCCACCGCAGAGAGATGCTGTGGGTAAAGGTGACAGACATAGATAACTGTATCTCAGGCAGACTGCACAATTACTCTGAATTTTATTATTGTTACTGACAGCCACATATTTGTAGGAGGAGATACAAAGCAACGCATCAGCCATCACCACTGTGCGTTAGTGTGTGTGTGTGTGTGTGTGTGTGTAGGTGGGTGGATGCTATCCATCTGAAATTACAGGAAGATTAAAATTAAAGCTTGTCTCCCTCTAGCCAGCAAGCGCTCCTTGTCTCTCTTCTGCTCTGTCATACACACAACGACAGCACTAATCAGCCCTCTGTCAAGCCCATTAGGTCCCACCCTTAATGAGGCGATCGCCCAGCTTGTGCCCTGACTTGGGCCAAACCAAGTGAGCTAATAGATAATGATGTGCATGAGTGTTGTGTCCCTCGTCAGCGTCGGGCTGCATTGAGATGACAAATGACAGACTTTCAGTGTCTCTATTAAAGAATGTTTTTCTATTATGTTCTCAGGGTTCAGTCATCCGTGCGCCCCACTCATCACAAAACAGTACCCTGACAATCTGCCTTTCACTGGCACCCTACTGTATTTTTTTGAAGGGGGGGTTGGCAGATGAGTCACCACTCCACAAATAGGCCTTCATCTTTTTAAAATGTCCCTGTGTGTGGTGTGTTCGTTTGTTTATACATTGCACTACATTCTTAATCACGACTGAGTGACTGGCTTTTTTTGAAGGTGGAATATCAAATTTGGTGAAACGGACTTTTTAGGATTTCTTCAAAGTGATGTTAATTGGACCTCAGCTTTGTCGCACACGTGCGCGCTCGTGTGCGCATGTGTGCACGGACAGGAAGGCTGACGGTGGGATTTGGAGCTTCCCTGTCAACACATACACAAGCGCAAGGTCATTGTGGTAAAAAAAACTTAATACGTCTTCGCACCACAAAACAGCCGCGTGTCGGAGTGATAGTAAACAGAAAGGTGTTGGGCGCGCGCTGTTGTTCTCTTCTTGTCTACTCCTCCACCGGGAGAGAGCCACCCGCTCCCTATAGAGCAGACACAAGTCAAAATACCCTGCTGCTGGTAGGCTGGGCGCCTCATTCTGTCAGCCAGATGTAACCACACAAGCGCGCGCACACACTCGAGTCACAAGTGCGCGCGCGAACGGGTGAAACTTTTGTAACAAAAAGCACAATTGTCAACTTTACCCCCCCCCCACACACACACACACACACACACACACACTCACAACCACCGCCAACAATATTCTCACGCGCTCTCTTCCTCTCTCACGAACACTGGCGCGCGCAGCAACAGCACCAGCCGTCCTCGTGCAGGTAGGCAAGTCCCACAAACTGCAGTGCGGCAGCGGTTCGCTATTTTAAGAATAATTTTTACATGAAGAGGATAAATATTTAATTCCCCTCTTTTTCCACTCCCGGCCGTCAGAGCGGGTGAGGGACCGGCTGGTAAGTTGTTAAAAAAGCAGCACCAAGAGGCTCCTTTTGCGACTTTATTTAGCACAATAACAAACCAAAAAAAAAAAAACAACATTTAAAATGAAATAAAACACTTCCAAGAATTTGTACCAACTCTCACACACACGCAAACACATCCACGCGAGTAAACAAGCACCCAGCCAACACGCACTCCACATCACCGGCAACAAGAACAAATGAATTCCTCTTTCTCTTACCTCGCCTAAACATATTGGCAGCGGCTGTTCGGACCGTCTAGTAGTGTCTGTGCGGGAGTAGCATCCTTGTGAGGGTCCAATCTTGTGCTTGCTGTTCACTAAATTGTTATTTTGATTCCCTTTGACCGCTGGCTGGCAGGCTGTAGTGTTGTCTCCTCGGTGGCTGCTTTCTCAAGTGAAGACGGTTGGAGGAGGAGAAGGAGGTGGTGGTGGTGGAGGAGGAGGAGGAGGAGGAAGAAGAGAAAGGGGGTCCGCCACCGGTAGAAAGCAAGTTTTCTCGCCCGCAGCTGTTATAAAAGAGGTGAGAAATAAAACACCCTGTCCCGTCCCAACGCTCAGATGTGTTTGAGTGATATTTCAACTCGCCGCCATCTGGTGTTTATGAATCAATAACGTGCATTCTGACTTTAGATGATGCCCGAATTTAAGAAGAAATATGCTGTCAAGTGTGGATTGGGGGGAAAAAAAAAAACAATTCCCCAGAATCGGAGGAAAGTTCCTTCCTTTAGGTCTTCTTCATCGTCTTCCTCCCGGTCAGGTTTGCAGGTCAGGTAGAGTGTACAATGCGCTGTGTGGGGATCGTCAGTGTCCGTCTACTGTCTCTGTTACCGGAGAGCTCCGAGGCAGCCGCTTCAATCCCCCTCCCACTGCGAGATGTGACTGATGAAAGCCAGAACAGCTCTCTCTCTCTCTCTCTCTCTCTCTCTCTCTCTCTCTCTCTCTCTCTCCACATTCACATGGGTTATGCTTTATTGGGATGACAGGCAAGAAGATATGTTGATGAAGCAGTTATAGGTTCCTCATTAAAATGCTGCTATCAGTCGTCGCACCCTCTCACTCTTCCACCTCGCCCCTATATCTCCCCCCCACCAATTCAACTTCACTTCCAACAGTTCAGCGTGCTTTATGGGCGTGAATGTTGCACAAACAACATTACCCGAGCTTCAGTTACAGTTCAGTTACTCCCTTTCTCTTCTTCTGATCAATCTTCTTCACTGTATTTGCCTTCACTCGTTTGCCCCCACTCTCTCCATCGCTGTTTCTCAAATTCACATGAAAAATTGCTTTTTGTTTTGGTGACCATAATTGAATTAAAGTGCAGTGTTGCCAAAGCATGTTGTACTAGGTTTAAAATCCAAGTTGAATAATTCAGAATAAGAGAGTTAGAGGAAATTACGAGTCAATAAATGGCTGTTACAAAATGGTCTTCTGTAGTGATCGTTGCAAAGAAATCATTACAGAAAAAGATAATATATATGTAAATTTGAGATGTAGTTTAACAATCAAATGTCCCAGAGCTTAGAAGAGATTAGATATAAAAATCAAAATAAGGCATTTAAGGAGATCAGTATTGTGCATTCTGTGAGGTATTTGTACTTAAATTTCCATTTTATTCTACTTTTACTTCCTCACATTTGCTCCACAACATGTATCTCATGGCTATAGTTTCTATTCACTTTGCAGATTAAGATGGTACATACAAACCCTATCATTATCTTATAAAATGTTATGGTTTGTTAGAGATTTAAGATCCCCTCCAGACATGTATTAAGTATATACAGATAGTCTGCTTGGAACAATAATGGGTGTTTTTTTCCACAAAGAAAGTATAATTTGCATATTAAAATCCTTAAAAAAGGCATCTACTCTTTCTACCTCATGAAAGATTCCAGTATATATAAATATGCAACTTTTGTTCATTTCTAAAGTTCCCTTTAAGTCTCCGTCACTGTAAAGCCCATTTTTATTGTAAGTTAAGTTTCCTACTGGACTAGGATGGACTTCGAACTCTTTTTGATGTCACTAATCGTGCTAAAATCAGATTTTCAATGAGCACGGAAAAACTTTCCACTTCCAGCAGGTGAATGTGAAAACATGCTTCTGGTGTCAAACTCTACATACATCATTCTGCACAGCTAAGCTCAAACATCCAACTGCGGGAACAAGAAGAAACAGATTTTTCAGTGGAAGGCGACTTTAAGCTACCTGGTACAATATAAAATGGTTTAAATTAGCCCCACCACTGCCAGCTGCAACATACTTATGTGTGATATAATAATATAACTCTCCAAAACGTACTTACTTACTTACTTTTACTCTGCCACTTTATTAGATCTAATGCAATCTAGTGCAACAGCCCTGCCACATGTTCTTCTTTTATAAAGCTTAAATGTGTTTAGTTTTTGTTCAAACTTTTCTGAGAGGTGTTAATTCAACTAGGTGTTTCTCATTGAGGTTGCAGTTGGTGGTGGTGCTGGGGTGAGCAAAACATTAGAAAAACCTCAATATAATGCCATCTGCTTCAACACCAGTGCAAACTACAACCACAATATTAAACATAGTTAAATGAATACCTCTCTGACAGCATCTTTGTAAGGGTAGAGTTCATGGCTGAGCTGTTTTATTGGATCGCATTACATATTACACATTACAGATGTATCTAATGAAGTGACCACTGAGTGTATATATGTGTGTTAAGTAAGTATGACATTTTATACGTGTGTCAAATTCTTGTTGTTTTTAGTTGTATTTTGATATTGAGAATACATTTTGTGCTGTCTCTACTTCTTGTCTTTGACAGAAGTGACACAATCTGCTTTCTCTGGGTTGCCCGGTTTGTCCACCAGTCTCAATTGTCCAGGTTGTGTCCACTCAGTCTGAATTTTCATCACGTCTTTCTCAGTTTCTGGTTGCTCACGGTGCCCAGATGGTGTAGTCACGGCCACTCTGTATTGTCTGTTTAGTGCTAAATGGCATTGAAGTTTACAAGGCTTGTGTTCTCTCAATCTATCATATCCAGTATCTTTATAATTTTTCATTCCTGGCTTAAAGTTGAACAAACATTAGTATAATGACTGCTAAAGCAATTAACCACCGCTAGGCAGAAATTCACATTTGAATGATGTTGACACCTATCAGTGAATGCATTGTGTATTTGTGTGTATTTAACAAAACAGTACAACAAAATCACTGCAATCATGTGAGGACTCGAAAAAACAGGAACAAACAGGCAAATGCTGATGAGAGTAATTACAGTTTTCATGTGTTTCTCAAATGGTTTTCTCTTGGCATGCCCTGATATATTTAGCTGTCTCTGGGGAGATTTTTTCCTCCCATGAGGCATTTCATTTTAAATTGGTCAGAAGAGGTATCATTCTCTTTATATTTGAATTTTATTTTTATGAAGAATTTGGTCCCTTTCTGGATCATATTTGCTACAGTGGAGCAGAAAATCTCATCTCATTGAGGGCAGAACTGACACATTGTGCCTTCTCTTTGCTGCCAGGTTTATCTTTGTGTCTTTTATACCCCTCGTCTGCCTGCGCCGTCTCACTTTGTGTTTGTCTCTGTTGCTGATGAGCACTTTTATTGTGCTTAAATTGTGACAATAAAGGTTTTAGAATCCAGAATCTATTCTCGCCCCCTCTGTTTACTCTGTTTTCACCTCTCCCTTTCTCTGTTTCTTTAAATAGAAACAGAAACTGTTCACATTTTAACCGCACAATTGCTACAAACTATCAATAAAACAACATAGCCTGAACAATTAGAAAGACAATTACAACTGTAGAACACAAAATGGGAATTTAAGTGAACGTGTGAATTAAGTATATGAGTGTGTGATGTGACTGTTGCGTGTATGTGAAGGAGTTTGGGAGTGGATGTATGTTGAGATGGATATATCTGTATGATGTCGGGGGATGCGCGGGAGACAGTTCGTATTGGTATAGGACATGTTTACCTTTTCATACCCATGTCTCTCCAGGCAATGTATTTAGGAGTAAAGGAGCGCTACAGTTATACTATCTATGATTCTCTAGAAATCATACTGTGTTCAGCGTTGAATCTGAAGTGAACTGTGATGGCTGAGAGAGAAAATCTCACAGGTGGTCACCAAATATGATGAAACTGTCCGCTCGACAGATAGCACCTCGATGCCAAAAGGCAATCTCCAAATGTCCCATATTTGGTCAAACACACAAACAAAACAAGCTTTTATATGAGTGTATGATTTAATTGAAATCAAGTGTAAGATTCATCATCATTTAGTGTTAGTTGTTACAAACAAGGAAGGGATTCCTTGGTACAGGGTAGAGAAAACTTTGGCATCAAGAAAAGAGACGTGTCTGTATCTAAATTTAAATTAAAATGTATATCAACAATAACAAATCAAGAAAAAGTATTCTTTTATTTTTTTTCTGGCCACTTAATGGTAGCCGAACAAGCTGGAAACAAGACAATGACACACTGTCGCAGTATAAACTTGTTACTGTGAATGTGTTACAGTAGCAAACGTTCCTCTTGAGTTGTGTTTCCAATATTCGCTCTCATTAACCAGGCTTCAGGCCGCCTCAGCCACACATATTTGCTCATTTTCGCATTAGCCGGGAGACGGCAGTGTCAGGACTGCCCAAATGGCAACGGCCACAGCCACCACACTGAGCTTCACAACGGCGCTTTAGAAAAAGGAGACTGCATCCAGGCTTAATTATACAGTGTATGGTTTGAACCTAAGAACTCTTATGTTCACCAGCTAGTTGCTAACTTTGTATATTGTTTGGCGCTGGACAGTTAAGTAAGCAGCCTGCTATGACTGTTAACAGCAACCCCCTTTGACATTACATACAGTTGATTTATTTTCTTAATATAAAAACGCTGATTAGTGCTGCTTTAAAGCACAATCTTTAAGCGGCTCTATGGACATTCCACTTTTGTAATCCTTTAGTAACTAAAAACTAAAAACTAATGACATTCCCATCAGCCTCAGTTGTATTTTGTATGTAGTGCTAATTAGCTATTGTTGGCATGCTGACATGCTAAACTGAGATGGTGAATATGGTAAATCTTATACCTGCTCAACATCAGATCAAAGCACCGCTGTGCTTCATTACAGCCTCCAAGAGACACTAGCGTGGCTGTGGAGTCTTGATCCTGCACATCTGCTGATATATCTGTAAATGCATTTAAAAACAACATAAAGGGCAAAAACTCTAATAGCAGTGTACTAGCATCTGCTAAACACTATCACAAAGGAGAACTTGAAAAAAAAAACTTGACATGGTAAGAACTATTCAGTTTAATTCATTAACAAATAACTGTTCAGAATAAAAAATGTTGTTAAAATGAGAACTAATGTTCCTGCTTTTTAAACATGTAGTTTGATTTCCTTATATTCTCTCTATTTTAATGGGCCCTGCATACACCTTTGTAAGGGCTTTGGACACCCACACAGGTGTATTCAGTTACTGTGGCTGATCAGACGTCAGGTGGAGGTTTGGTGGAGCTCAAAGATTAAATAAGGATGCTTATAGTTCAGCTTGGAATTAAGTGATTTAAACTCTCGTGTATAAGAATGATAACATGTAAGTCATCCCGCCCTAACAGGTGCAACACAACTACAGAGTGGGGGGGGCTGTCTATCAACTGCTTTCCCACACAGTCTTGAAAAGACGGCTAAGCAGGTAACAAAGATCTGTGTGTGTGTGTGTGTGTGGACTTGTAGGGGCTGTAATGGCACTACTGAAGGTCATATAGTCCACAATACGTTCCTTCCCACAAGCTGAAGATATGTCAGAGCTCTAGATTCTCTTTTCTTCCCCTCCCCCAAAAGGGCTGAGGTTCATTAGCAAAAGCAGTTGGATGTCTGTGTCCTATATTCAATCATTAAAATAGTCTTCCTTCGGATTATATTGGCCACAGTGA